CAGCTGTCACAGACTTCTCCCACATTAAGATACTCTAGCTAGCTTTCAAGTACTCTCTACTTTGATGAATTGCATGGTATCGCCCTGAAAGCCTGGTGGATATATAATTGGCTATGACAAGGAGTGTGCTGTGCTATATTATGTCTTCCCAGAGTTATTTCTGTCATCACGGTTATACACCCAATCCCTAAGGGATCCCTGAGGGATTGAGTGTATAACCGTGATGGAGAGGATATCCTTATGTTTAGAATATCCTCTCCTATGTAAAATATTGCAGATCTTATCTTGTATTGGGTTCATTTTAAAAGATAACAACAAAATTCAATGCAATGCAGTTTAACACATCATCAACATCAACTATAGGGTCAATATTCTGATTACAGATTAATAAACAACTCCTAACAAAAACTCACTATGATAATGTAGAGGTAGTGGGACGCCCTCCTCTCTGTTGAGGCAACTTACTGGTTGTCTGGAAACACAATATTTAAAATTGTGTTTTTGTTGTACAGTTTGATTACAGTACAGTTTATTAGATAAACAGTATTAGATTTAGAAGTCTATGAAATTGCTACCAACATAACTGCTACTTCTTCCGTTAATATATGCAGGTGCAGTGATCCGTTTAGGCAACCGTAATGGAACGATTCAGTCCCATTTGCATGTCTGCTTATGTACGGAATAATGTGGCTTTTTATCAAAGTGCGATTTGAAGACAAAAGCCAGGTTCATTTTCCAAAGGATGCCGATGATGCGCGGTCACCTGGTGTCAGCGGGATGAGGGGTGTAGTTCCCTGGCATGCTGTGCCGAGTAGTTTCAACATGTGGTCTTGTCACATATCTGCATAACTCTGCAGGTACTCGCTCGATGAGCCGTCATCTGAAAACAACTCTGGATGAGGAAAAGAGAAAAAAACAACAGAAAAACGAGATACATGAATGAGAGGAGAAAACAACAACATATTGGAAGGTTAAAGGTGTTTGATTACCGGAAGAGTTGTTTGATGTTGTTGTTTTTTATTGGGTTTCTGTAAACAGTTCCCGAATGCATTGACATAACAGACAGTAAATGGAAATTGTTCCATTGAGTGGATTGATTTATTCTTTTGTGCTCTCAACACAAAAAACCCCTCCTTAAGTAAAACAGGCTTTGCAAAAATGCAGTGGCGTGTCCCGCTGAAAGAATTACCAGTGAAGACTGGAATAAAAGGCGGATATTATTCAGATTGAAGAGTCTCATCTCAATAACTGTTCTTTCCTGGTGGTGCGGTAGCATCCAACACACACATAAATAGAAAACATAGAACTCACAGATATAATTTGAGGCAAAACTGGTAAAACTAACTCTTACCCACATGCACATATACGTACGTATTGTTTTAATGAATGCATTTTTGGATTGTGGAAGACTAAAGACTTGAGCACTGAATCCCTAATGTTAAGAAAAACAAAAAAGATTTAAAAAAATAATTATATAATGTATTTGGTTGTTTTTACTACCAGTCAATGATGTAAGAGCTGCAGAGGGAGGGAGGGAGAAAGAGGGAGGCCGACAGACAAAAGCAGTCCGTTAATGTTATCCATTAGAAATGGAGATATATATGTGTGTGACCCCACTATCAGGCCTGCATGCGTGTGTGTCATGGGGAAAGTGTGTTCTTCGATGAGGACACGCCCGTGGGGTTGCTTGAATGTTTTCTGTGTCCATTTGTTTGTGCGAGTTTGTGTGTTTGAGTGTGTGTTTTTGGCAAATTGACAGCATCATACATCTAATTCTAATACTAATCTACTAATCTAACGATACACTTGCTCCCGGCTGTCTCGTTATTCGTTGTTCTCCTCCATCTCTCCCTAAACTCCTTAAACCTTTTCAAGAATCCAATATAGCTACATATCTATTAAATGTGTTTATAATAGAAATATTTGAGTAAATGAGCGTTCATGTTGCGGCGGATGAGGTGGGCAGACATTCTGTGGGCAGGAGTTCTGGGTAATATGAGCACCAAGAATGGGCATTTGTGTTTTCCTGTGTGAGACAATCAGTGTGTGGTCTTTGTGAGACAAAGGAAAGAGGAAGAGAGATAGCAAGAAAATGTGTGACAATGTTGTTCTATTGTGTAAATGTCTTTGCACTTTTGTGTTTTACATGCAAAAATCTATTTTGGTTTCTTTATCTGAGGTGTTTGTGTCTCCGTTAGCACATGTATGTTTTCACAGCTGCTCCAGATTCCAACTAACTGATAAAAGGCCAATGAGTTCATGATTTCCACGGCTCTTGCACTGATACACATCATAGACAACTTACCAAGAACCCAGAACCCTAACAAACACTTATACAGTCAGTCCAACCCACGAGGCTTCACCGCCCTACATGGCTGTGTTTGACTTGCTTTAGGACACAGACATGGTTGCATACTTTGCATTTCTCAGCCTTCGTCTTGAGAACAGTTGATGTTTCAAAGCATAGTTGGGTGTTCGGGATTAGCTTTGTTGTTAAGTTGCACAGAAAAAATACAAAACTACCGACCCTGCACAGACCCTACCGGCAACACTGTTGAGAGTTAAGATGACAAGATGTTTAAGATAGCTTAGACTATTAGTGGAGACATTTCGTGTCCGGACGCGTGTGGACTCCTATTTCTGGTTGAATTTAGGGATAAATGTCTCTATCCATGATAGATCAGCTTTCACTAGCGTTGACATTTAGACATGATCGGCCCCTTCTGGTAACATCCCTTTTATCAGATATCCATGTATTTATGGGTTGGGTTCGTAGGTCTTCAGGAGTGGGCAGGCCTACAGACGCGAGCGAGGGAATAAATGCTCTTTCACTCCCGGTGCGTATCTACCACATGGTGTAAATCGAACCACGACACCGGTAATGCTACAACCATCCATTACCGATGACAGCATCCAGGCCAGACGATCATGAGGCGGGCTGTTAGGATCAGTAATTCACTCTGCCAGGAGATCAGAAGAAAGCAGCGGGGGCAAAAAGGAGGAGACGCAGGAGGAAGGGAGAAGGTTTAAGAGGAAGTCGGAAGGAGAAAAGCAGTTGAGAGGGTAGAGACCCGGAGGGGTAAAGGATAGAAAATAGTTGGCATTTCTGAGATGGAGCCTTTTACTCATAGAAAAAAAGTTTTCTCCAACGCTCCCCCTTCTCTCCGTTCCACCCACCTTTCTCCAGCTATCATGTTTCTTGTGCCAATCAATATTTTATAGCTGTCGCTTCAGAGTAATGACCCCCCCCCCTCCCTCCTACCCCCACCCTTAGCTCTCTGAATGACAGATGAGGGTGAGAACGGGTGTTGGGGCTGCGGTGAAAGGAGAAAGCGGGAGGGACGGGGTAGGAGGGTGTGAAGCAGAGTGGCGGAGAGACCTGAAGCAACGAGGAATAGCACGAGAAATAAAGATGAAGGCGGTGCAGCGAGTAAAAAAAAAAGAATCGGATAAATGGGTGAATGTGACGCTGGGTATGTGGGAGAAAATTCCCAGTAAATGAAATGATGCAGTGAAAATGTCTACCAATGTTTCATACTCTCTGAGAACTAATTGCAAAAGCACGAAAACAAAAAAACCTCAGCTTCAAGACATCAAAGTGGGGACGCTGCCTCCTCATTTCCCCCGATCTTTGTCGTGTTGTTTTACCTAAGCTGCTTTTAGCCCGTTGCCCACAGCACTATTCTCCAAGATAAGGGCTGCACGCACAGTTAGGGTGAAGCAACGTGTTTATGTGTGTGCACAGGGCATTATAAATGCACAACTATCTGTGGGTGTTTTCTGCATATTTTGCTGTTCGCGTTCATACGAGTTGTTATGTGCGACTGCAGCAATGACACATTAGAGATGGAAAACCTTGAAGCTGTGTCAGAACCGTTGACATCGTGTTAAAACAAATGTTCGCATGAGTCACAGCCCTCAACAACACGTCCGCGCAGCAGAGAAGATCTACACAGTCCTTGTGATTATGGAGCTGAGGGAATTCCCTGGTTGGCAGAAATTGCGCATTGTGTCTGTTTGTATGTGTGTATATGTGAGTCTGTGTATGCGCATATGTTATTAATGCATTGTGTCTGTGTACACGTGTGTCCATCGGATGGAAAGAAAGGCCCTTTGCTGTTCATGCCACTGTGTTTTGCTGACCTCAGCTACCTGGTGACTAAACATACTTGGGGACCCTTTGGTTGAGGTCGCAGGTGGACGTGGGGTTTGGACACACTGAAAGGACAGTGAAGGAGAGACAGCAGGTTAGAAGAGGACCGGGACGCTTTTTCAATTTTCACACTAGCATTAAAAACTTCACCGCTTCTCTGCCAAAGAAACTAATTTTAATGGAATCACTGCAATTTGGATTCACTCACAAAGTCAATAGTTCAAATCTGTGTCATGTTCAATTTAAATGGTCTTTCCCGCACAAATTGGCACTATTGATCAATAGTGACTCATCTCAGCAAGACTCCGCTACGGGTGCACAGAGAGTTCCAAATGAAATATTCTCTCGTAGCTTATTAGCTGTGGCGGACCCTGCACTCTTATTCAACCCCTCTCCGTAGAACTGTGTATTGATCCACAAAAGCAATGCTGACAGTCATGAGTCGATGCTAAACGTACCTCTTTTTATACAAACTTAAACGTATTAATGACCGTGATAAAATTTCCGTTTGCTGGTGATGAAGTATGTGAATCCTACGGAGGAAGCTAAATGGCAAGCAGCACATCTGCAGAATGTGTTGTTGAGGTTTGTAATGTGTCTGCCGGGCTCCCATGTGAGCCTCTGCGACCTGAGGTCACATGCAACGACAAAGTCATAATGGCCGCAGCAATCAGCTGCTGTTTAATGTCACATTTTATGGCTCAATGGAAGAAAATCCGTCTGGGTTACCTGACTTGAGACATGCTGTTTATTAGTGATCAAATGACACCACATTGTCCTGTTCACACTCAGTGACAAATTCTCCAATATCCGAATCCTCACCTTTCTTGTTTCCTCTTCTCCGCAGTGAGAGATGATGACGATTTCCTGAGCCTCAGCGAACTCCCGGAAACCTTCCCCTCGGACCCTCCGGAGCCCTTACCTCACTTCCTGTTCGAACCCGAGGAAGGCTACATTGTGAAGAATAAACCTGTCAATCTCTACTGCAAGGCAACGCCCGCCACACAGATTTATTTTAAGTGCAACAGCGAATGGGTCCATCAGAAGGACCACACGGTGGAGGAGAGGGTGGACGAAAACTCGGGTGAGTGACGGCTGGAGGGGACATGCAGTCAACAGTCTGTCAAAATGTTTTGTCTGACAGGAAATCTCATTGGTGACGGAAAAATTAGAATATTGAATAAGCATTCATTTATTGCTGATTAATTTATTGGTGATGAATTCATGTGGTAGGACTCGGTTGCTCAGCACACGGTTGCAGTAAACACACGGATATCAAAGTCAAATCAGCCTCCTGAAAGTTCGTTAACGGTTTGACAATGTGTTTGATGATAGCTTTACATTGTCGTTGCTTTAAACGGCGGTGCGTGTCAAACGAATTATGCTGGTACTTGACTCCCTGAGAATGAGCTCCGACTGTTCCCCCGCTGAGCAGACAATTAAAAAAGGCATTTAAGCAATCTAAGTTGCACAGGTTGTATATAAATAAATGTAACGCATGTCAGGTTCCCCTCTCTGACTCTAAGTTGATCTCTTGGCCCGGCCGTGATGACATTGGGCTCTTTGTGTGATTTACAATTGTCACACATCCAGATTTCCCAGGTTCCCTCAATGGTGCACTGCAAACACAGTGGTTAAACCCGTTATTCCGATGTTTGCTGTTTAAAGCTAGGTCACGTGTCAGACAAGTGTACACAGCTGCATCGCCGTGCTGCCCTGCGATGTTCACAGGGCAGTTTAATGTGATCCACCGTCGCGCACTGGACTGCAGCCAGTTCCGCACTTCTCACTTGACAGCACACCGTATTATTCTGCAGGCTACTTAATGATGAATCAGGCTGTTGCTGTTGGCAGGATGACAAAGCCAGACGCAACCTGGTTTCTTAGACTTAAGGTTAGCATGAGCCCGGCTTATGGGTCCCCACATGCTTTTAATGAGCCTAAATCCCCAAAATGATTTAACTATTTGAAACGATATAGTGTCTCCGCTACCACCGCCGGCGTTTCCAATCGCTGTTTCTTTGATGCAAAATGCTTCACCTATTTGTGCGCTCCCTCTCTTTGATAGTTGTGTGTGCGCGTGTTGCATCACAATCGAGAGGAATCGGAACTGTTGCCGTTGTCCCAGACCCACGGCGACACATCGACAATCTCCCCCTGTATTACGAATCAGACCCTGGAGTGTGTACACACACACGGTATCTGTGCTCCCGTGAACACAAAGGAGAGACAGAAACAACAGAGAAGTACAATTTCATGTCGCCCTCCCCAGTTTAACTGTCCCTCACGAAAAGTCAAGGAAGATGAGATAAAATGTAACAGAGTAAATAGAAGTGAGGGTTGCGAGGGAAGTGTTTTGTGGAATGCAATATAAGTAATACGGTACTAACCACCTGAGCATTATATTATATTCACAAAAGCCTCCATTATCTTTCTTTCTCTCTCACCTTTTCCTCCTATCTCTCAGTGCTTGTTACTGACATCACATGCAGCTGCAAGTCACTTCTTAGTCTCCCAACAGGTGCTCATTTGCTAGCTGCTCCAGACAATGCGTTGACTGAGCAAATTCTGTTTAATTAATGACCCGTGGATTTAGGTTCTCGTACCTTTTCTGATGGACACAGACGTTTAAGGACCCAGATGTGTATAGCAAGTCCAATTATTTCCTCACATTACAATTCCAGCCGCATTAACCCAATGTAAATATATACATGTATTGATTATTATTATTAAGTGTTGAACTGAAACTCAGGCCTGGTTAACACATGGCTGACTAAATTGTTTTCATCTTCTTCGGATATACAATCATTTATGCTCAAATTACATTTCACAAAGTCAAGATACAATGATTTGAATAAAGAAATGATTAGCTGCATGGTTCTCCTTGCTGCTCCATAACACAGCATTATTCATACAAGTGTACTAATGAATGTAAGTTGAATAAACTGGGGGTTGGATGAAATATCAAGAGCAGTTTATATCTGCAGCATTTCCCAAGGGAATGGCTCAATGCCCCTAAATTTATAAAGTGGATCCATGCCTTCTCTTTTGTTTGTTACAAAGAATTTGCAATGAACAAAGTTTCATGCAACTGTACTGTCTAATTAGGTTTTTTTCAGAGCTTAACTAGTAGTCACCCAGTGCAAAATACTACCAAAATAAACACAAAGAAAGGGAATATTTATATCCTATTTAGATGAGACCACCGTCATTCCTTTTTGCAAAGCATGTAGGTCACCTTGCAACAATGAGATGACGAGATTGTGAATTATGCAACTTAGTTATCGGATAGAAAGCTTGTGTAAGTCCTTGCCTGGTGAATGCACAGTGTGTGCACACTGTTTATCTGTTTATCGTGTGAAAACCTGAACTCCGTAAGCTGTTTTCTCCTCTTTGTTTCCTGCTGTTTCACAGAAACAGCTGGAGGCCATGGCTCCCATACTGCTTTCATTATCTCCTTCTTTTCACTCCATCTCTCCCTCTTGGTCCAATCATCTTCCTCCTCTTTCTCTTTTTCTCACTTTCTCTTTCCTCCATGCTGTTTTGTACTAAACTAATTTGTACTGACTGAAATCGGAGAGAGAGCAGAGGTGGATAAAACCTGAGCTGGAAGAAAGCAGTGGTCACAAGTGGGGGATGATGGCGGGAGGCTGATGCAGGGGTCCTTTGAGAGGCCGCAAAGGCCAACAGATATCAGCGAGTCCCACTGAGGGGAAAGATGATAGGATTCCTGCTGCGCCGTTTTTTTCTTTTTTCTTTTGCACTCATCCAACTCACCCTTATATTTTAGTTTTTTTAACTAAAGGAAAATTCATTGCCTGAATCTTTGGATGAAGGTAAAATAAATGAAAAGTGAACATGTACCTAAACGTTTGAACTTTGATATAACAAGCGGGAAAGTGTTGTCTGCCAGATGAGGTCAGGGTGACCAGGAGGGGGCGGGGGGGTCTAAAAAACACCAGACCTTCACCCAGGAGACTGTTTTTTGCATTGTGCGTTAATCCAAAGATCAACATTATGTTTTTCAACACGTAACTGAACAGTAATACTTCTTCCACATGTATTATCTCCCAAACCCTGTCATTTTTTTCACGTTTGAGCCCCACCACAGCTAAATGAATTACTTGCATTGAACTGAGCCTCATCTGGAGTGCTGGTGAACCAGGGGAGAGGCGCAGGCGAGGGGTGGGGTGCGACTCAGGGGTCACTAAGGTTAGCCTCCAATAGGATTGATTCCCTAAACAGCTCCATTGCCCGTCACAGTATCCTTGACAAACCTAGCTAAGTCGACCCGCCGCCGGGGTCGCCGCACCAAAAGTGATTTTCAGGTGAGAGACAGAATAATTGTGTGTAGGTTGCATATATTCTCGTGAAGGTCATTTCCAGCGTCTGCTTAAGCATCGTGCGTGCGACCTCAGTAGATCTCCATTAGCCTTGAAGAGTGCTAATGACATATTGTGTACTAGGTTACTTACTTTGTCTCCATTAGCCTCCACGGTTATTACTCGCCAAGCGCTGACCTGTGACACATGCACACATGCACATACATTATTGGCACACACAGTATTGGCTCGGGTGATTTGTGACCTCGCTCCCTTCTTTGCTGCCATCTCACTTGTATTGATTTCCTCTTGATTTTCCTTCAGCTCTCCTCCTTTCTCTTCCTCCTCATGTTTCTTTTCTCTACTCACTCCCTCTTTCTCTCTCCTCGACCCTGTTTCCTAAGGTCTCTCCCCTTTTCATCCTCTCATTTCTCGTACTTCCTTCCTCCGTCTCTCCCTCTCTCATACAGAGATTGTTTGATTTAAATTATTAAAAAGCCATCAAGATTCATAAAGGAGGTCAATTAGCTTCTGTTTCAGTGACTCCTGATCTGCAAAAGAGCTCCGTGTTCGTGTCTGTAAGTGGTTGAAACTGTGTTTAAAACTTTGGGCCATGCCATGAAATTGCTGTGTATCTGGAAGATGATGTTTTATTTTGTGTGGGAAGTGTGTGCGTGCTGTCTGTCCAGAAAATTGATTTGAAGTGGACTTTCTCGTGCCCTGGAATGTCCAGGTTCACTGCTTCTTTAGAGCCACTGGAGGACAAAATGTGCACACTCAATGTCACTCACATGTAGAGTATCAATGCACACACACACACAGACACACACACACAGGAAAACACATATGGGTAAGGTACTCAAACATGGACCATGAGACACTGCGATGATCAATCAATGTCACTGTGGGAGCCATTAGGAGAGCACAAACACACACACACACACACACACACACACAGACAAACGCATGTCTACATGCGCTGCTGCCTGTGCTGAGGGTCTTCAATTGGTCACAGATCGGTGAGTCTGTTCTGTCAGTGTCCTGGATGATTTCCCACCACAGGCAGAGAACTCCGTCAACCCCTGCACAATCCCTTTTCCCACAATGCCTCTCTTCCTGTTGTTGTCATTGCGCTCTTTGAATTTTGTGTCCGTTTTCTTTAACTTTTACTCTTCTTACCTGTAATAATCTGTAGTAAGCGCTGCCGTAACGTACAGGTGCTCTGATCTTGAGCACTGGCCGTGAAATACATCTGCATTTGTCAGACTGCTGTTGGGTTCTGTTTATCATGTTTCCCTCCCATTTGATCAATATGGTGGTTGCATACTGTGTATCTCGGCCTGGTGTCACAATGAAATGATGAAACTTACTTGGCATTTACTACAGATCAATGTCTACATTTGTGGCTAAAGCTGACTAGTTCCAGACATTTTTAGGCCTGATTAATCTGGAGTCTGACTATCTTTATTTCAGCAGACAATCTTTAACGATTTGTATGAGGATGTTTTACATGGGATGTTAACACACAATCGCAGGACAGTGAAAACATGTAGCAGAGCTGAGTTGCTGTGCCTTCTTCATGTGCAAGTGCAAAATGATTCACTTCTCCCCACTGCAATATTTCTAAACTCTCCCCCTACTTGACAAGCAAACGATCAGCCATGTTTTCCTATTTTAGATCATGTTCGTATTTACCAAACCATTAAATGAAATCACAAGCTGCTCACAAACACCTAAGCAGTGCAGATGTTTGCAAAAACAGAGACCCAAATTACTGAATCTTTATGTATCTTTCTCATTTACATACAAAAGAGAGAGATTAATTGAGTGGCAATAATAGAACATTATGCACAGTTTGTGTTTTTGTGTCCATACGCTGGATGGATCTCTTATCTGACCTCATGCCTTTGTCTTTTGTCACTCTCCCTCTGTGGCGCTGATGAATTAATAATAGCTGGCGTTGACTTTTTCCTGTATCCTCTGTATCTTTCCCCTGAAGGCGTGTCTGTTTGACCCGTCGCTGATCACATTAAACACCACAAAGCTTTTGGGTGCTTCTGACCCTTTTCTCTTTGGTTTTCTAAACCATTTGGCCTCAAACTTCTGTTTTTATGTCTGTCCTGGACTCAGTGGCTTTCTTTCATATGTATTTCTCTCCTAGATGTTTAAAGTCTGGTTCATCTGATTCAAAGTAATAATCCTTTACGCGTTTGATTGTGTCATCGCTGTTTTTGTTTGTTTTCCTCCAAAATATATTTCCTTTAAACCACAGTGGGAGATAATAAGATGGAGGAAATACATGTGTTTAATCAAATGGGGGACATTGGAATTGATTCCATTTAAACACAAATATATATATATATATTTTTCTAATGTTTTTAATTAAGCAAAAGTCCAGTTCATTTCAACAGGCCTATTGATTAACAAGTTTACATTATTGACTCAACGTTTAAGCTTTTTATTTTACTGTTGTAAATCCATTTTTTAGAAAAACAAGCTTTTCCGCTTTTCTTACCACTTCTGTGAAAATGCTGCTTTTAATCATATTTTTTCTCCAACATTTTTCCAGATTTGACAATATGAAAGACTACTGTATTCAAGCAGCTGCCTGCACACCATTTTCACTCTTGCTCTGATAAATATAGTTGAGTTTTGGGAAAACTGAGTGATTCGTTTGAAGGAACATTATATATTTTGTTATTGAGGCAGTTTTAGCAATAAGTTCCTATTGGGTCTGATAACAGTTAAACAAGTAGGTAATCTATATTGTGGATGTGGCACCTCTGCTGACCATGAATTTATAGCAAGCAAAACAAAACAGTAATTGTCTTACACTATTGAAATTTGAACATTTAGGAATGCAAAGTTAATATCCCAAGTAACATGTTTAGAGATATTTGCATTAAAACAGAAACCCGCTGGTTGTCTGAACCCTGCTGTGTATCTTGTGAACATGGATGACAAACTGCTATGCAAACCCACGGAGGTGGAGAAGGAGCCGTATATCTCTACGCTGCAACCCGTTCAAATCATGTTTGTTTTTTGTTTCGCTCCCTTATTCCCCATTTGTCAGATAAAACAAAAAGTCTGACAAAACACATTCGTCCACACTTTTACTTACTTTCACTCCCCAGCTGACAAGTCAACTTTGTCATACGCATTGATACTTTAGGACTAAGAGAAACATTTGGGGCGTTTTTTGCATTTTTTTGATGGACGGAAACGTCTGTGACAGTATCCACTCGTCTTGATTCTCGCCTTCCATTTTTCATCTACTTCTTTCCCCTCACCTCCCTCCGCTGACAGCTGTGGTTTTGTCGATGTGAAGCACTGTCGTGCTACAGAGACCCACAATTCCACGTCTTACTTTTCTTGAGAGAGTGATGTGAATGCTGTAAACACTGTATATAAACAAAACAAGACACGGAATGATCGGGGACTTTTTAAGCCTCAGGTGATTCAGTCGCACTTTGCTTTGTGAGTACGCATTAGCGCACAATGGAAACAACTCGGTCTTCACTGGTCTCAACAGCACAACTCCAGATTATGTGACATATATTGTTATCTTTTTCTGTTCCGATGTTTTTTATGAGGTATAAATGTCTAAAACGTTTTCAATACCTTTTGTACATTTTTCTGTTTTTACATGAAAACATACAGACAACACTGTTAAAGTGAATGTCATATTTAAGCATTTGATGCTGCTCCTCCATAAATACAAAATCAAAACCAAATTATATCTCCACGAGGGCAGACATTAAATGTCATATTTTATTTTCAAAAATGTCAACGCTGTATTGGTTCTGTTTTCTTCTCTTTTTTGGTTTGAGCATTGGGACCAACTCTGTCATTGACTTTACCTCACAAATGTGCCTGAATTCAAGAAATATAAAAAAAAAAAATAACTTTAACACTTCTTGCCACCGTTGGAAGTCTCAGCACGATTCCACATGCTGCTGTAGATCCACAAAACATGACTAATGTCTGTGCTTTCAATGTTCTGATATGTCCGAAGTTACTCGTGATAAGCAAAGCTGTACATTCGATGTGATCGTAATGAATGCTGTATTTGTACAGGGTCTTAGCTCTGCTGCTTTTGAGTCCCTTTTTTATTTCAAATAACCACAAAATCCACATTACTTAAAGACTTCTACAACCAATAATATTGTGACCAATTTAAATGTTAAACAGTCTTGATTTTGCATTGTATTTCTTCCTTAACACTGCTCTGCTGCTTGAGCTCTTAATATAAAGTCCCGTGTCCCCTTCAGGTGTCCTGCGTGTATTGCTTTGGTTCCATACACCATGAGTCATTCTCTGGCTCATTTTAATCTTTCACTTTAATTGCTTCACTTCCCTCTCCTACTGGTATCTACCTCTTCCCCGTCCTTTTTTGTCCACACGCAGTGGCTTTTGCTCATTGCGACTGCCTACTACTCGTCTCAGTGTTAGTCTTGGGTTGCTTGCCGGTTATAATTGCCACTTTAGCTGACATTTTCTTAGCCTCTACCTTTCTTGCTGTGTCCCTTGCCTATTTTGTTTTAAGCTGTGAAGCCATAACAATGTCCCCTGTTTGCTGGTTTGCTCCATTGCCCAAATCCACTCTAGTTTTTTTTTTATATTGTATTTGCTCTTTACCCCTTTTTTGCTTCCTCTCCCTGACTGGCTTTTATCTATTGTTGTGCCGGCAATACCTTCTGCAAGCTTTTTACTCCCTGCTTTACTTTCCTCTTTCCCATCTGTGCCATCAATGTTACTTGAATCGCCATATCTTCAATTCCCTTCGTTGCTTTCCACCTTTTCGTCAATCTTGATTGTTCAAAAGCTCAAAAGCCATGTCTCCCCATCTACCAGCTTGCCGACAACAAAGACTTTTGTTGCCTTTCTTACTCCTCCTCCTCTTGGGCTTCTCTTTAATTCTCTGGCCGCCCATTAATGGCCGAAAGTCCACTGCAGTCCTGCTGACTGGATTTCACTTTTTGCCTTTCCCTTTGTTCCCGTAGCCTCTGGGACAGCGTGCAGTCTCTCTATATGGTAGCTGGGATTTACTCAGAGTCTTCATGAGCAGTTGGCCCAAGTCAAATTTGTTGAGCCCCATGGAGAGTCTTGCTTGAGTCTTTGCAACGCTGCCGAACCTGTAATAAACTGCCGAAAACTTGTTTTCATATTATTTAGCCTGTCTGCCCCCCGCAAAGCCATTTTTATCTCCTTTCCGTTTCACATTTCATTGCCCTCTCCCGCCTCTTATTCCCACAAACCTTCCACTCACTGTGCGTCCGTCTCGCTATTCTCCATTAGTTCTACCAGTCTACCGTTTCTGTGATTTTCCTCTTTTCTTCCTAGTTTGTGAGCTTAACACTCTCTTTTATTTTTATTAGACCCTCTTTGTTCCCTCATCCTACTTAATAAAATCCCTTATTCCTTTTCTTTGTCATTTCCACTATTTTCCCCATGTCTCTTTTTTGTTATTATCGTGAGTTTGTATTTTCCTCTGCCGTCCTCTGTGCTTCCTCACAGTCCCACTTGTTGGCTGCAGCTTTCACACCTTAAACGTATTCTTCACTGCTTTCAAAATACAACAGAAACGAGGGAATGGGAGAGCGGAGGGGGATAAGTGGTGGAGGTGCAAAAGAACAATCTCGCGAATTGTCCATTAAATCCAGAGTTAATCTAGTTTAAAAGAGCATATTGTTAATATATAATATTATATGTGTATGTATATGTATAAAAATCCTCACCACTTTTTCTTTATCTCCTTCTTAAACAAACATAAAAGCAAAATCACCAGATTATGATACTAAAGGCATTTGCTTTCTCTTGTGTAGCGGTGACAAAGGGAACTCATTTTAATTGGAATATTGTTTTTTCTGCAGGTCTGGTCGTAAGAGAAGCCACCATAGAAATCACACGGCAGCAGGTGGAGGAGCTGTTCGGCCCTGAAGATTACCGGTGTCAGTGCGTCGCCTGGAGCTCGGCTGGAACCACCAAGAGCCGCAAGGCGCACGTCCGCATTGCATGTGAGTACAATACTGAGAGCAGCACGGGAGGTTCATGACCAGCACGCGCTGTTACATTACATTACATTACATGTCATTTAGCGGACGCTTTTATCCAAAGGGACTTACAATAAGTGCATTCAACCATAGGGAAGCATGGAGAATGTGAATCATTGTTCTTACAAATAAGTTTTAACACACCGAACTCTTCTACAACATATAAGATATGGATAAATGTGGAAAAAAAGTAGACACAGCTATATATATATTGAGATAATTATAGACCCTTGTTCATTGTTTTTTTGCTGAAAAAAATAACACACTAAATAAGTGTTTTTAATGTGCAGATTACTGCCATGAGATACGCATTTTATCTAAAAAAGACTGTATTTGGGTACAACCTTCAAAATAGTTTTCATAATGAATCCTAGAAAAGGGGGAATTTTTAAGTAGCCTCTCATTTTGGTTTGTAACTTCACCGTCAGTAGCTGCCTGTTATGGTCTTGTGAAACAATGTATTTGACAACTGGGAGTCTGACTTTAAGGTCACCAGCAGAGCTCGGGCCAGATGAGACCAGGACACACTCAATATCACTCCGGCAGACGATGCTACGGTGAAACGCTGCGTACACAGCGATCACCTCGAGAAATGATTTCGGGATTGATGGAGCTAAACAACAGTCAGGGGGAAATAGAAAAGGTTGACTATTGCTGTGAGAATTCGGCAGCTGACAGCTTTGCAGCAACCGAGTGGCGAGGGAGTTGAGATGTTTGATGGAAGTCGCCAAAGAAAACTTGTTTGTTCAATGTAACCCTCATATAACAAAATGGATTGTCCCGTCAAAGCTCCTTTCCCGATTCTGCGAATTGAACCCACAGCAGTTGTTTTCCAAGCTTCATTGCTCCGGTCGATTCAGCTATATAAGACAGCTGGGACTCATCTTGGGTTCTTAGTTTATAGAAGGGTCAAGCAGAAAATAAATACCAATAACATATATCCGTGGGATAGACTGACAGTTTGATTCTCCTTAAGTGATTGGAAAAGAACAACTGGGGGCTTTGACTGGAGTCCATTCAGACGCTCAACAAGCTGCACACATTCCCATATTTAACACCTCGGGAATCATTTTAACAGACATGTAACCTGGAAGTCTTATTCATTGTGCAGAAGGAAATCCATCATGTTGGTTTTCATTCAGGCTATTTTATTGGACTTTATTGGCTCATACTTTCACTCATGCAGGGCTTGGATGTGTCATTTATTCATGTGCTGACAATCTCATTTATTTCTCTTTGCATTTTGAAGGAAAATAACCAAAACATACAAATTATGCTTAGATATTTAATCCACTCTAAAACACTGAACCCATTATTAAAGTAAATATATAATTACAAAGATCCTAATTCACATTTCGCTTATGGCTCACTAAGTGCTTAGTGCCTAGGTAACCTATGGTGGGGCTTAATCTGAGCATATGTGCTGTAGACAACTTCACCTTTTTTTTAAATGGTCCTGTACCAGATTATCTAGATGCAGTCAGTTTAAATCTGTACATTCATAGAGAAATGAGCTGACTCGGGCTTACACAATGTTCAACGTGGTATTGGATTTTTACCTCAACAATGTGTTTCTCATTGAATTGGGCTTGTACGACCATCTTGATTCAGAACAGAGCCTCTCTTCTCTCTGCACAGCTTTGGTGTGTGTGAGGATGTTTTCCTGCCTGTCAGCAGAGAGTTGGTGACACAGTCAGAAAGATCCTTTCACTGTAAGCTCCACTAATAACATTCAAGAATGGAACGAGCCCCCCTGCGGGTGGAAGGAAAGCTGTGTAATTTGCTGTTCTTGGTTTAGGTCGGGTGTGATACACGCTGAGATACAGATGCAGGACAAGTTCTACAGGCTTTTGACTTCCTTTGAAACAACACATGAATGCAGACACAAGCACAGATACACATGATACATACTCAGATGTGAAGTATATATATATATATATATATATATATATATATATATATATATATATATATATATATATATATATATATGTGAATGTATGGCTGTGTGTCTACATGGTTTTGTGTGTGTATCTCTATGTGTACCTTAGTAATATTCTTATAAATTAGCTACACTGTAATTTCTTCTGTATGACACTCCAGCTACCACTGCGCTCAATAACATTTAGCTAAAATTACATTGCAAACATACATCTTATTCTCTTAATTGCACTGTTCAAGGGCTGCCCAGTTTTAAAATTCCACTAAATTCTAAAATCTCACAGGGTGGAGACTATTTAAAACACATAAGACCTTGGAAGCTGGGTGGAGTGATGGTGATGGAGGCTGCCTCGAGGAAGCCTGGAAGGCCCAATAGAGGAGAAAGAAAGATGACTTAACTCTTCTAGACTTCATGCTGTCTTTTTTTCACTGGTGCATCTCGTTCTTTTTTTCCGCGCTGTGTATTCTCCTTGTCTGCCTCTTCGTCCTTCACTTTCTGTCTTTTGTATTATAACAGTGATTTCCCCCGTAACCAGATCTGATTACACTCAGCCCCTTCTTGTGATAACCTTTTACTTCAAATCGACCCAACCTCCTGACCTACCCAGCTTTCCGCTCCTATTTGGATCTACTGTTGTGATTAAAATGCTTCCTGGCAGCTAGAGCTTGCTGAGCAAAATGTATTTTTTTTTTTACCGCACCACGCAATAGCAATTCAGCATTTCTCTCCTGTATTCCCATCTCCCCTTCCCACTCATTTCCGCTCTGCTTTTGTCCTTTCTTAGTTTTGTCTCCCTTTGCTCATGACGGTGTGCTCATTGGTTCGTTCTCTTACTTGCACACCCTGTGTTTTCACTCTGCAGCATCTCCTCCTGATGTAATTACTGTAGGATTAACATTTAAAGGCATAATGTGAAGACACGGTTTGTGGCTGGATAATGGCAATCAGTGTTGTGGCTGTCAAACACACAATCAGACATTTCTGAGTGATTGGTCCGTTGGGAGAAGGTCACTTCAGCCGGGTTTTGAGTGTGCACCCGAGAGCCTAATATGAGTTTATAAAGCAGGGGACACAAACAAACACCTCCACTCACGTACGCAGAGCTTCGCAGGTGCATACACATGAGGATAGCAAAATACCCCAAATGGCAAGCAGTGTCAGTTATGCTCTTTGGCCCCCACAGCTTTCTGGTCCAGTCTTTCTCCTTCATGGAGCAGCGACGTGTCAAGGTCAAACACACCCACACGCATGCACACACAAACAAACAACCAGAGACACACACGTTTCAGATGATGGCAATTTATTCTGCCACCTTGTACTGAGACATATGAGTGCAGAGCAATCAATAGTTCAGACACTCGGGAAGACAGCTGTGTCAACTGGAAAATGCCTGCAAGTGTATTTCTTCTGTTTTGTTTATGATGCAAATGTCTCAGCTGCATGAGCGCATGTTTCCCTTTAAACATGGACCAAGGAAAACGAGGCTCAACAGGGATTTCTTGTGTCAGAGTTTTCAAAACCAAACTCTGCTACACACTTTACAACCGTAAAAGTGCGCAGTTGTAACCCAGCAACTGGGAAAAAAGCTGCTGTATGTTAGCCAAACGTTCTCCTATGACACTTGCTTTGCAGAGCAGAAACCAAAATTGCCCAACAACCCAATGACATTTGGGCTTGTTTGGCTGAAATGGAATGTTTAGCGCTTTCACACGTACCAAAACACATTTGCAAACGCTATAGGTGGACAATTGTATGTGTTTTTCCCTGGATGACATCATCAAGATAGTTTTTCTTTCTGGCTCTGAATAAACTCTGAATAAACATTTTCATAGTAAGAACCCATAGTGCTTGTGTGGTTGTAAAGTCTCCCCATCGATGTAAGCCATTGAGCTCTTTCCCAGATGTGGAAGGACTGCTTCAGCACACTCTGAGCTCTTAAAGAGCTAAGCCAGTGTGTCGTTAACCACACACAAGTCAAGTTAATGTCCACGTGTGGTGAACCATAAGGTTGCCAAGGTGACTCCCTAACATGTCAATGTCAATTCTCCAGGTCAAGGGTCAGAAAAAAAAGAAGAAAGAATTTTCCAAAAGGGAGTGAATACAATGCAGTTGTTAAGCATTAACTACAAAGACCGATTAAATCAATGCATCGTCCAAGCTGAGGAACTCTATAGATGCTGAATTTTTAAAACAAATAATTAAATAAATTCATAAATGTCTGACTTTTCCAAGTCCAAGAGAAGGGAATGCTTCAGAGTGCCAGTGCAATGTCAGCTAAGAGGGTTGTGTACTCCATGGAATTACCTTGTCTGAAGTCAAGGGCTGATCACGGGCTGTGAAGTGTTGGAATGACAGCGTGTTTCTGGAGAGAGTGTTTCTTGAGGAAAGTGGAAAGAGACTCTAAAGTCCCTAAGAGAGAATGACTCAATGTCACAGAATAACCTCAGTTTATCCCCAAAGACTGAGGATGTACCCAACTATTATCTGCTCAAGCTCAGACCAAATGCTAAATGCCTTATAAAGTAAGGAAATATTGTCAATTATAAAACAAAAGCATCCATGATTTTTACATAAATTAACCACATCTATTGATATATTTCAAAACCTTTTTGATAAAAACAAAATAAATGGTTATCCAGCTTAAGATTTTACGCAGTGCAGAGTAGTTATTCAGTTACTTCTGAAAATGTCATGTCTCTTCTTAGCCAGACGGCATACATGTTCTCCTCGTCATTAGGTCCAGCAGGAACTCCTTCGGGGACTTTAAGTTTACTACAAATGTGCTTTAACTACAAATAAGTTGCATACATTTCTTGCTAATGTTCATTAAATGTTAATTACACGCCTGTGTGCGTTATCACTTACTAAATAATTTGGCCTTTACTAACCCAGAAGCATGATTGATTCCATTGGATGTGGATGTCCGACTGCTCCTGCCTGTGAGTTAAGGAGAATGTACTCTGCTGGCTTTTCATCTCCCAAAGAATAACACACTGCTCTTTATTGCTTGAGCAGCTCCGCCGGGGGAAACCGTTATGATTTAGAATTGGTTGCATGCAGGCGAAGCCACCCATTTTGGATAATTGGCCTGGAATGTGCTTAGGTAGCCGGAGGCAACGGACTCACCACGTAAATAAAAAACAGTTTTACATGAGCAGTGGAATTAGGTTCTAGAGGGAGACGGAGGGAAGCAGAGGGAAACGGATGGAGGACAGGAGAGAGGAAAAAGGAGTTTTTGTAAAAAAAAAAGGTAATATACGCACACTGCTTCATTGAGTACGCAGCATATAAGGTGGTTCACACTCTGTCACCCTCTTTACGAAGTTGTGCAGTGAATTCATCTCAGGTTTTGTTGTATTTCTGAAGCGGGACGGCGTTGGGGAGTGATGTGGGGTCAGTGAATTGATAGGACGCAGCTGTCCTTCCTCCCATGTGCACACATTTCCCCTAGGTACATATTTGCACACATGCACAAAAACACACACCTTCCATTGAGGTGAATTCTTGGTCTCCTGGCGCCGTGGACACACTGTCACGTTCCCTCATTCTCCAGAACACGCTCATAACCCGACTGGTACAAAGTTTGTCTGTCACGGCCCGCTAGTTCAGCACTGTGTGGGAATGTGTGTGTGTGTGTGCGTTGTGTCAGCTCGTCCCTCGAGCGGTTTTCTTTAATCGCCTTTAATTTCATTCTCAATCTTCATGGAAATCAACTCTCACAACCAGCTCCTCAGTTCGCCCTCCCCCCCGTACTAATTAAGACCAGGAAATTGTTCCTGGAATCGGCCCGCATGAGAAAAGTACGTCTCACCCCTCAATCACTCCCTCGCCCTGTGTAGTGGTTGCGTCGACGTGCACGGTCTCTGTGTGCGTGGTTGTTGGTCTCCATCCCCTGTGTGTATCTCCCTGTGACAGTATCTCACCGTCTCTTTGTCTTTGTGTGTCAGTGTGTGTACGCGTGTCTCTGCATGTTGTGTGGGAAGCCATGTGGTGGATTTAGGGCTAAAGCTTCGGGTGATTACTCCCATAATGAACCCTCATGCTCTGTTCAGGCTGTCACCCCCCCCCACAGGGATTGACTGTATTATGAAGTTATCACTCAGCCTGTCCTCACATCACTCTTTTAGACAATTTAGCTCTCCACACGTAATACGATGGTGGTAAGAATTATATATGTGAAATTGAACCTCGTTATTCAGGTGGGAAGTCGTCCTGGATCATTTGTGAAACGTAATATTATAACATTATAACCTTTGCTAGCGTAGATATGTACTACATACTGCATGCATATTAATAATATTGTATCAACCTCACATGATGATTTTTTTTTCTCTTTTGTTAGATGTGCATTTTAGAGCCTGACAAACACTTGCACTCATTTAACAACCAAAACCCACACTGAAGGTGTTAGTTGTCTCACCTTTAAAATAGATATTTATCCTTATGGTTTCTGGGCAACAGTATGCCCAGCGTTATTTAAACTACTACATTCAAATGCAACTATGTTCTATCTACCTTACACCTGTCTTCCCCAATTTCAATGTATGCGTAAACATACTTGGCCGATAAAGCTGATTCTGATTGTACAGTATTTGTAGCTATGTACACATTTGAATGGATAATCATTTTTTTTCACATGCTTTATCCAGATCACGTAGAGTCAGGTCAAAGATAAGATCGTAAACCTTTTGAGTTGTACCCAGAAGCTCGAACGAAAACAAATCAATCCCCTCCATATGGTCTCATTAAGAAATCCATCGCGGCATCAGAACAGCATCGCGAACAAAGTTGTCTGCTAATTCCCGCAACATTGCCACCCCTCTTGGGTCACAACTTGTTTTGCAGCCTTTTTTTTGTACGGCAGGCTAATTATTGCAACATGTGTTAAGCCCAGCTGGCAATATTGGGACGTATGCATTCAGTTTGCTCGTTGGCAGCTGACTAGGGAGGTGAACGGGAAAGTGAAAGATGGGCGTGAGAGTGAATGACATTACAGCATCAGGAGAAGTTTATGAAAGTGAGTACTGAAAAAAAATGTACCCGGAAACAGTTGACAGGACAATACGACTCCACATAAGTGGATAAAGAGGTGTTTCCCTTTTGAACCACCTCCATAAAACTAAAATTCCCTCTTGTGTCTTAAGACAAATGTGATCTCGGAGAAAAATGTATTCGGCATAAAGATCCGTGAAAACAAAACTGTCCGTCCACCCATCCATGTTTTTACTCACGTCCTTCAACTCCTTCAATCCATCCTGCTTTCTTTTGTCTTTTCTGTCAGTATTATTGAAATGTCTCGTTCACTCATTTTTCCCTCCAAAATGCAAACAGCTGAGCCCGGTCTGAAACGCTCTGTTGAAGAGACGGCTCTGCGTTGCATTGCCGCTCTGTGATGCTGTCATTTACCACAGCATGTGGACCATCCGTTTTGAATGATTTATTGTCTTTGGCCTGCTTGAGATCCCCACACTCTGGCATGTCGATACAGAACGACAGCAGGGTTCAAATATTGGGCGTCGTTATTGGGAGGTGAGCATGACACAAAGCAGCCTGTGTTTAGTGCAGGGAGGATGATCCGTTTTATGTGTGTATGAAACAGTTTTAACTACATTTTTAACATTTGTATTTTGTATCTGGCAATGCGTTTGTATGTATCTGTGTGTGTGTGTGTGTGTGTGTACAGTACACACCCCTGTTTCCATTCTCTGGGTCTAAGAATATGCAGCTAAGTGTTCTAAAGTGACAGGAGAGTGGGAGAAGTCAACATGTGTATGACTTTAATTAACAACTCCAGAATTACTGTCTCATTGTTGCCACATGAGGTAATGAGTCCGTTTTACAGTGACATGGCACCAACTCCTAAATGGGCTCCCTGACTGCTGAATCCCGGGATGTTTCTGCAAAATAGCCTCCAACACAAGCCTGCTTTCTATTGGGCCTTTTTTCTTTGATCTGTGTGCTGATCTGGGAGCTTTTTCGCTGGCTACTTAAGCAAAAACGTCACCGCTGTATCATTAGACCTTCAATTGAATTAATATGATATCTAGTATCATTATGATGTATTCCCTACATTTATTTTGTAAAAGTGTCTCTGTCTTGCCCAGCAACCTGTCCTACAGCAATTACTCAGTTCCCTGCACCTCTCTGTTTCTTTCCCCAGACCTGAAGAAGTCATTTGAACAGGAACCTCTAGGAAAGGAAGTATCTCTGGAGCAGGAAGTGCTGCTGCAGTGTCGCCCTCCGGAGGGCATCCCAGCTGCTGAGGTACGTGAAGCTTTGTTGAGAATTTCCTTTGAGGTGAATGTCAATCAAGACATTTGATGAAGATGATAATGGATTTTTGGAAAATTATACAATGAGACAATGTAACTAAGACAAACAATAACTTAAATCGCACGTTTGTCCTGATTTTATAAAATCCTACAACATGTTTTCAGAAATATAAAGCGTGTGATCACAAACAGCATTCATGTTGTATCGGTACGGTGGAAGATCAGGGAAACAGCCCAAATCTGGTTTTGAGTGGCAGCAACTTGAAAGCACTTCAGCAACGAAGTAACACTGATCCAAAGTTAAACTTAGACTTAAAATGTCCCCCGAGAGCCAATTTGAATCGCAGCACACTTCTCAGAGTGAGGAATTTAGGCTAAACCTCTGCAGTCTCTCTTGCTGTACCCGAGCTTTGCGGAAAATAATGAGGATAATCAACGGAAGTAGTGCCGGCTTTCCTCCAAAGGGCCTGGGAGAAAGCAATTATGTACCTTTTTCATTAGCAGATGTTGATGACAAATGAACAGAAGTGCAGAGATTGAGGGGGAAACAGCACAACTAAATTAATTTAGGGGGGAATTTGGATTTGTGGGCCTGGTACGATAACCTCATCATTTCGGCCCTAAGACTGAACCAACCCAATGGGCTCAGAGGCTTCCAGCAACGCTAGTGATTCAAACCAGTGTGGATTTCCATCAAATACACTTGAACAGACGGGTGGTAAACAACTGCATACTTTACAAACACTCAATGTGAGAGAATATTGTGTACGTGTCACTGGATTGTCAGCATATAGACATTTTATTCATTCGCCCAATGTGCCGTGCAGTGAACCTCCACTTTGGGGGAGCCACACGTGTCACTTCCACTCCCCGCGGGCCGTAACTACAGTGAAGAACCTCATTCGCAATTCAGATATTTACTTTTCTGGTTTCATCTGGCTGCCTTCCCTCCTGAATGGATTAAAAGACATAATTTAATTTAGTTGGTCGCTTGGGAAGAGCAGCCAGGCACTTGGAGAGGGCTGCGCTGCCGGATAAGGAGTCTTTGAATCAGGTTTTCCTTCCTCAGGGTTTGATAGTCGTTTTCAATTGCTTCTAAGTACACAGGTCCCCCGAGAGAGGGGAGGGAGTGGGGGGATGGGGGAAGGCACTCAGAGCGACCGCTCAACAAAGCGAGCGAGCGTGTCTCAGGGAAAAGGGTGAGGTGAAGGTGGGGCAGAAAAATAATTATACAGAAGGTTTGGAATAACAGAGTGATCTTTTCCTGTCCTTCCATTTTCAGTTCAAGTTTAAACAAAATGATTTTCCCACTTAAAAAAAGGATTCTAGCACATCCACGTCGAAGCTGATTGGAAAGATTTAAAACCCGCTGATGACTCCAGGTTGTGGACTTTTCTGTTCTTTCTTTCTTCTTTTCTTTGCTCTCATCTTGTTCATTGTCTTTGCCATTTTCTATTTCATCTTTCTCAAACTGGCGTTTAGACGCGCTCACGAACCTTTCGGAGACAACCAGCTTTTTCTATTTGATTGATGAGGTCGCGGTGTCTTCTGACCTCTCTAAAAATGTCCTAATATTAGCGAGGGAGATCGCCTTGTCGACCAGTTGACCACTGTTGTAAAGTTGTCAGTGTGACGGGGTTGGTGCCCTGACACGTGATACCTGAATCGTCCAGCTGGCATCACGTGGCTGTCAACATGCCCCACCATGAGCATCGACTCCTTCAACACGCTCACACACACATTGAAGTATGACTTAAGAACTCTGAGGGTCCGATCGTAACTGCTGGACCACCGTTATCCTTTAGAGGTCAAGGTCAAACCAAACCAAGGTTACTAAGAAAATGACTCCGGACCAACCAATCAACCCTTATTTCCTTTTCCTTTTCTTCCGACAGTTCTGCTCTTGTCATCAGTCAGTCTCTCTCCTCTCTCTTTCAATCTAAAACTCCAGGGAGACACAATTTGAGGCATTGTGAAAATCCTTGAGAAACATCTAAATCTCTTTAGACTGATGGGAAGCCTTTAAAAGCTGATGGAAAGCTATTGGATTCAGCACGGAGGGTTTGACAGTTCACCAGAGAAAAAGCCTTATGGACACAGTGGGTGAATTAACCGAGTGCAGCACAATGTTCCCTTTCATTGAAAAGTTTAGTTCAATTAGATTATTTACTTTTATATTTATATATAACTTGCTTGTCTACGGAACATCGAGCATTGACAGCAAGATCTTTTTTTTTTTTAAATGAGTAAGAATGACCTCATAGGCCAGGCACAGTCTACTGGTTAGATACTTGTGTGTGTGTGTGCGTGTGTGTGTGTGTAAAAGACAGAGAGACTGAAAGTGTCTGTGCGAATATTTGTGTGTGTGTGTGCCTGCGTCTGTCTCCGCATGTGAGTGATGACCCCAGCTGCAGCTAAATAAACACATCAGTGTGTGGTGACAGGGACTCCACATGTCTACATCTAACACTCTCTCACACACACAGACACACACACACAGTCAGACAGTAACTGGATATGTGTCTGCAGCCTGATCAAGTTCCTGTCACATTCTTAACCACTCAATCACACTTAAATTAGAGCAAGTTATCCACTTGTAATGGCTTATGAGCAACCTATACGTTATGTAGTTTTAGAGACAGCTTTTAGTGAGAAGTTTATGATATATATATAGTACTATATTTATATCGCAATAACATTTGCTTGTGAAATGAAGGCGGGGTTGGGATTTAGACTCCGGCTCCAACTTCCAAATCCTCCGGCATTCAGCGCTGTTTGTCTTGCTCAAGCTTCCTCTAGCAGGACTCGCATCCAGCTGGCAGCTCTGAGGTTGCTTTTACGTCGCTGATCACAGCCAGCAACTGAAAAGTTTGTATTTATAGCATATCCGCCATATAACCGGCAAGTAGCTGGCAAACTCCCGCTATTTAAACATGTGTTTGTGGGAATCCAGGAGGCACAGCCACACCTCATCCTGACACACACACACACATTTTAGCCTCCATCACAGGGAATATCAATGCCTTTTTTCCGCTAATGACTTTCTGCGTCAAACAGTGTGTGAATGAGCCGCGTGTGTTTGTGCAAGGGCACGTTGTCTCTCGGGTAGCGCAGATGACTCTGTGTGATGCAAATCGTGGCAGACTTTTCTGTCCGATGGCATCAGTGGTGCAGTACTGCTGAAGCGCTACTGGCCACCTCGCTCCCACGGTCACACAGTTCACTTCAGGCCCTGGAGTCAGAGTGGTTAATCTGTCTTATGACGATGACGTTTACTTCCAGAGACTATCTGGAGGTTACAACATCGGTGGTCGCGGAGCGCTTGAAATGGACAGTGAAGGTGGCAGTGTGAATTAAACTGTCTAACAAAGAAGACATCCGGCCTTACTGCGCCCAGAGATGAAAGCAGATCCATCCTTTATCCTTTAGTGCTAAACCGCTTTCAAACCGCATTGACGAATGCTTTAAATGCTGCGAGATGAAGGATATGCAAGTTCTGAATAGTCAAAACACCTCTGAACGCACCCTTTCATAAAAAGCTCCGTAAACGGATTTAAAGGCAAAGCATATCCTTTATCCATCAAAGACACGCTACCAGAATGCTTTTTTCATTTACTTCTTAATAGATGAATTGTAATACATCCAAATGGAAATCAATTATCTATGATTATAATTTTTTTTATCAAATAAAGCCCTGGATCTTCCCTTCGCTTTGCAAAATGTTGTGACCACCATACCAGAAGAATCATACGTGTCTGTGTGTGTGTTTATGTGCTCAAAAACAATTTATATAATGCTGCTTCGCCGATAGATCCTTACCTTAATCCTCTTTGAGCGAGCGCTGTAAGCCCCACAGCTCATCTCCCATCACATTTTACCTTGATCCTCAACCTCTGTCAGAAATCATCACCCTAATCCACAGATTAGTCAGCAATCTCTTTTTTACCGGAGAAAATGATTGAAATGGTGTTAACATTATTAAAATGTTGGTGCGATGGTCTATAACTGCAGAGTAATTTACAAATGCGGCGGATGGAAGGAAGAGCGGCTCCCGTGCTGCAAAGGTATTTCCGTTTACTGTCGGTGTTGTCGAGAGGGATTTCCTCTTCACCCATGAACACATTTACCGTGAGCTTTATCTCTTTGAGTCCTTGACTCCTTCTACTGGAAAGAGGCGCATTCTTTTACTTTACCAGTTTGTATTTTTGAAAAGATTTGTCACACTTGCATACAGTTGCACACAGGAAGAGGGAGAAGACATGCACATGTTCACATTTCTCGTGAGCTGTGATTGTAGGGGCTTTGAGGGGTCTGCGTCAGTAGATTCACACAGCAGCAGACTGCAGAACTGCATTGGATTGGATTGGACTGCATTTTTTTTCTGTTCTCAATCTCCTCACTGGTTTATTGGCTTATTTCTTTACAGTCAACACGTTTTCTCTGTCCGGTTTTATTTATATGAAATAAAATGACCCAACCCAGACATTTATCTTAACTTTCTCACAACTGGAAACATTCTGCTATTCCAGCAGTGACTGTAACTGAGAGGACAGTACGTCTGTCGATCCTTAAGGTCATTTAAGGAAACTTACAATTACAGTTCCAAAAGGAAAGCTCCTCGTCACATTTAGGCACGCTGGCTTTTGTCTCCGACGACTCGCCCTGTGTTATTTTCCTCAGTCCTCATAGAATGCAGGAAGTCTGTAGGCCAGTGATCATGTGCGGTTTCACTTCTGCGGTCTAAAGGGTCGGAGCGCTTTGAGACTGGGAGGTTTGAGTGGGTGCCTGACTGGAGTGGGACATAATGAAGGCGTTTGCGCGGATCCCCTCCACACACCCTTAATTAGGAGAAACTACTCTCTCCCCTTTCATTACCCGTCCAAAGGCCCTCGCAACACCATGCGACGGTCCACCTTTGTAATTAACCCTGTTTTAGTGTCTTCCTGGCAGTGACACAGAGCGGGTATTTAATGTGCTGGTGTTGACATGCTG